ACATTGTGCTACTGGGCTTAGAGCATTTTCATATGTCTCCTGTAGGGTGCACACTGGAGTAAGAATATATCAGTGCAAGTGGTCTGTTTTACAGGGTAACTTTCAAGTACTTACCTTGCTATCCCAAAATATTGGAAAAGATGGTGTTATATTGTGTCTTTTTCTTCATACACCATTTGGCTATATATAAATTTTCATTCCATAAAAGGAAAATGTAAGAAAGAGAAACACTGTTGCTGCAAAAGGCAAAAAGATATATGAGAATTCTTATTGCTCAGTACATGACAGAAGTTATTCAAACTTAGTATAAAAAGTAATAAGTTTTATGGTGAATTATGGAGGTCCATTCAGAATTGGATAGTGTTTTCCATACAGGCAAAATCGACTAAGAAATCACTGCAAAAAGAATCCCATATGTAGTTAGTTCCTCTGACTTACCATTTATAATCTACAAAAGCAAGTCCATATTAAGATGAAATATTTCCCCATACTCACCAAGGTGGTTTTGCTGAACTGCTGATGCTCACAGTAGCTTTATTTTGACCAGTTCTGATTTTTATTTTTAATGTTTCATTTTCCTTTTCATAATACTGCAGCTGCAATTTGTTTGATGTTTGATTCAAGACAATTTAACATGTTAACATGACCATCTCTTTATTGTGCAACATATGTAAAGCTTGAGGGGGAAAGATTTGTATATATTTTGATATAACAGCAATATCCATAGATGATGAAGAAATTTTAAAGATATCATTTTCACAAAAGTGCATATTTGGTAAACTGGTGCTAAGATATATTCCACAATAGAAGATATTTATGCTTCATCAAGCAAAAAACTGAAAGGCTCCCGAAGAAACCTTGCCTGTCTCAGATTGACACTGTTTACCATACTGGAAATGATAATATGTGTAAGCAGACTACATGTTTTGCCCCATCATAGGAGGTACTTTTAACTATTCCTTTTTTCTATGACATTTTACACTATACAGGGAAGAATTTGTATGTGAAAGAAGGGCCTAAAAATTGGTTTCAAAGGAGTGCACTGATGATGATAAAGTATTTAGCAGGATTATGTAGTTGTGGGGAAAATGGATAATAGAGAATGTCTGGAAAACCCAAATTATGATTTTGCTGGTACAATACAGTATTTGAAGCAAATTTATGAAGAGTTATTACCTAAATGTAGTATACTGTATAGCTCAGAGAGAAAAGAGTACATGACAGAAAAAAATGGGGTTACAAGAGAATGTGCAGGAAGGGAAAATGTACTTTCAAATATATAAATGACTATATGACAATTTTCCAAGCAATATATTATCAATAACAAGTAAATACTTGTGAGTCTCCTAATGTGAATATAAAATTTTGTAGGTTGGAAGGTAAATAAGTAGATTTATTGTGTACATAAAATTACTGATAATTTGATTTCATAGAGTAGGTGATGGGTAGAATAGTGAAACACATTTTAGTGAACCTTAGCTTAAGTAGCTAGTCATATTATAGCACTGCATTCCACTCATGGAATGTGATGAGCCTTTGACAGCAGCTCATTATTTTTAATTACATTGGAATGATAGGCAGTGGGAGTTATGAACTTTTTGGTGATTAGATTAAGAGATCTACAGCAACCTCAGTCATCCTTCTTTCCTGTGACAGCATTGATACCAGGAATGTATAATTTGAGTGTGCTGTTGTTCTTTTTAGGTGTGCGGATTAACTTCTTAGTGTTTCAGAGTGTCAAGAAAATTTGGAAAAGAATATGAAATGTATTGTTTGTCTTTTTTTTTCCTCTTCCTTTTAAGATGTTCCATTTTTTCTCTCTGCTCGTGTGCAGTAGATAGTTACCATACTAGAGCCTTTATAATCTTTTCTCCCTTTTTTGCTAAGGTTATCGTGCAGTTACTAATATTAAGAAGCTGTCCTGTATTGCAGATTTTTCTTTTGTTTTCTTTTCTTTTCTTTTCTGTGATATAGGAGGGCATCTTAGGATTGTGTATTTCTTGTTGGCTGAGCTTGGCATGGCTACTTCTGTGTCAATTGTGTGTTTTTATTTTGTGCTGTCGTTAATGTTTCCAGAATAGTAACAAACCCAGGGGATAATGATTAAGATTTCACTCAGCAGAATCTGAAGTGAGACAAATATTAACAGATACAAGTGCAGACGTCAGCGGAGCAAAATGCAGCAGTCAATGAGGCTGTCACGTTAGCCAGGGCTGATAAGGACAAGTTGCAGGAACAGTTGCAGGGAACACTGGACTTGCAGGCCCACAAACTCTCAGATGCCCAGCGTGAAATTGAAATGTACCAAGAACAGTTACACCGACACCAGGAAAACCTACAGGTAACTTGGAATCAAAATCTTTTCTTTTCTTCTCCTTAAAATATTCTCCAAAGAAAGTGCTGGTAGTTGCATTTTTGGCATGAATTATTTTTCACAGAAGATAAAAATTTTAATTGTCAAACCTCACACAGCAAACAACTGCCGAGTTTGAGGAAGTGA